CTATCCCCGGTCTTTGTGAGAATACTTGTGCTATAAGCCGTGCCTTATATCTCACGATTTCATTATTCTCATTTCTCTTCTTCACAAAGACCCATTTGTGTCCTACTGGTTTTTATCTTGGATGGTGTTCTTAAGGTCGGACCAAACACATCCCTTTTCTTTAATGATTCTTAGCTCCACATTTTATGGTCTTGTACCATTTTAATCAATCATTTCTTTGAGTGCACTCTAGTATAGACGTGGGCTCCTGATCCTCATTTATATTCATAAATTCAAGTGTTATCTTGTATGTAAATAAATCATCTTATGTCGACATTCCTTATGGGTTCCATTATGTTCCAGACATGATATAATCGATTTGAGATTTATTATGGTCAGGACCTTTAATACTTTGCAGCTTGGCGTCCCAAGCTACATTATATGGTACATGTACCTTAGAGCCGGCCGACCTTATCTCCATGTTTGGGATGGTTTCCTTAGTAACCTCGGATTCCTATTGCACCTTTCTTTAATTTCCGAGGGTTTTTATCATTTGGAACTTATTGGTCTACCACGTTTCTTACGTTGTCTAGACTCTGTAGCAACTTGATTGTGTTCCTTGTGAACATCAATACGTACTGGTGCATTACAAGCTGGTATGTACGCTTTTATAACTCTCTTTGGGTCATCAAAAGGAATCTGGCAATTTATTAGCTAGCTTTTGCAAATTTATTATCTTATGGACCTCTGAATCACACATCAGAGTCCGAGGATCTTGCCAATTTAAGGATGTTTGATTTCATGATATTTCTTTGACCAACTTGTTCATCTCTCCACCTATAGTAGGAAATTCGGATTCATTAAAATGACAATCTGCGTATCTAGCCTTAAATAGATCACCCATGGTTGGCTTTAGATACTTAATAATGGTGGGAGAATCAAATCCAACATATATTCCCATCCTCATTTTAGGTCTCATCTTTGTTCAATGTGGTGGAGCAATCGGTACATATACGGCACACCCGAAAGTCTTTAGATGGGATATGTCTGGCTCATGACCCATGAGTAATTGGGATGGTGAATATTTATGTTCACTAGATGGCCTTATGCGTATAAGCTCTGATGCATGTAAAACAGCATGTCCCCAAGCGGCTACTGGAAGCTTCGACCTCATGAGTAATGGTCGAGCTATCAATTGAATTTGTTTAGTGAAGGATTCCGCTAATCCATTCTGTGTATGTACATGTGCCACGGGATGTTCCACACTTACCCCCATGGACATACAGTAGTCATTAAACGCTTGGGACGTGAATTCACCGGCAATATCTAGACGTATAGTCTTAAGCGGAAAATCTGGAAAATGGGCTCTCAGTCTTATGATCTGAGCCAACAACCTAGCAAACGCTTGGTTTCTAGAGGATAATAAACAAACATGCGACCATCTTGTCGATGCATTAATGAGGACCATGTAATATCTAAATGTCCCACATGGTGGGTGTATTGGTCCACATATATCCCCTTGTATCCTTTCCAGAAAGTTTAAGGTCTCTTTATTTACCTTAGCCGGTGATGGCCTTATAATGAGTTTTCCTTGTGAACATGCTTCACACGTGAGATTCTTAGGGATAACTCTTTTCTCTTTTAGGGTGTGCCCCGTTGAATTTATCATAAGCTTACGCATCATACTATGACCCGGATGGCCAAGCCGGTCATGCCATAAAGTGAATTTCTCGATGAACTCTCTGTTCATTGCCATATTAGCTTCGATCATATAGATTTTAGCATAGTAGAGACTAGTGGATAATGCGGGTATAGTCTCTAGGACTTTCTTATGTCCTTGGGTGATCTCAATTATATTTAGGAATTCTTTGTTCCCTTCACCCTTTGTTTCGATATGAAAACCATTTAATCTTATATCTTTGAAACTTAATAAGCTCCTCTTCGAGCTGGGTGAATATAGGGCATCGCTTAGTTCAAGATGCGTGCCATTTGGTAATAGAATATGGGCTTGGCTGTAGCCCTCAATAAGATTTGCTATACCCGCTATAGTGCTAATATTGGCATTTTTCATTATGAGATTTAGGAAAATATCTCTTATCTTTTGTGTGGCTCCACTATCCACCACAACTATGTTCTTGTCCTCGCCATTTCTTATAAGGACAAGAATCATGTTTTAAACATAAATAATATAAAATAAATTCAAGGAAATAACAATCAATGAAAACATAAAATGCAAAGAAAACATAGAGGTTTTGATGTCGAACTCAGATTTATCAACTTGATTCTTTTAGGCAATCAGAAGTCTCATACTCTATTAGATCATCTTGATCATGTTCACCATCTTTATATACCAAATGGGCTTTAGGATTCTTTCTTTTCACACTCTCTTGATAGAGGTCACAACGATGTTTGGAAGTCCTACATATCTTAGCCCAATGGTTCCCCATTCCACATCTATGGCATACTCATTTGGTCGAGTGTTGTGGTTTGGAAATACCACATCGTCCTCGCCCTCGACCACGGCCGGAATTGGGTCTACATCCACGGTTATAGTGGTTTCCACGGCCGGATGAGTTATAGTGGCCACAACCACGTCCTTTCCATCCACTACGGCTACGGCCGTGTGGTCTATTACTTTAGACGTGGTTAGATTCTTTGGATTCTTTCTTATCCTCTGCGGCCTTATTGGCATCAGGTAATGGGGTTAATCTATGAGGTCGTAATTCACTGTTTTTATCAGTAAGTCATTATTTTGCTCATCTAGCAATAGACTCATCCACAGACTTATAGTCCTGGATTATGAGACTCTCAATAAGATGGTGGCTAATATTGCCTTGTATATATCTTTCTCTCTTGGCATTATTGCCTTATTAGATACATTCACCAAGTCCTTTTGACTTTTAGGATAATCTTAGTATCCATTGCCCATTTGAAATAATTATCTCCTAAGAGATTTAGGGCAGTAAAATACAAGTTGTAATTCAACATCTACAAGGAAAAGTTTTGAGTCAAAATCATGTAATCGTTAGTGTCATACGGTATTTGATACCGAACCATGAATCGATTTACTTAGGGATTTGACTTTCCTCTTTTACCTAGGATTAGATTTCCTCTTTTGCTTAGGATTAGATTTCCTCTTTTAATTAGGGTTAACTATTCCTTTTTCTTTTAGGATTTACTTTCCTCTTTACTCTAGGATTAATTTTCCTATTTCACTTATGATTTTAGATTTTTAAGATTTCCTATTTTATTTAGGATTTGGAAAATTTATATTTCTTAAGGTTTTCCTATCTTGAATAGGATTTATGAATTTCTTAATTTAATTAGGATTTAGAGTATTTTAGAATTTCCTATTTACAATAGGATTTAGGATTTTATTTAGGTTTTCCTGCTTTCTTTAGGATTTAGCTTTTCCTATTTAGAATAGGATTTAGGGTTTTTCAGATTTCCTATTTTAATTAGGATTTTAGGGTTTTACTATTTTCTTTAGGATTATCTTTTCTAAGGTTTCTAGGGTTCATGCGATTTTAGTTTTAGGGTTTCTAACAACTTATGCATGTAATCAATCAAAGAAACAATCAATCTAACAACCTAAACAACCTCAAGCAAGCCGATTTATACTTAGGGAATTTTGGATTAGATCCGATTTAGTTTTAGGTTTTAGACTTTTAAAGTTTCGGCCATTAGCTTACGTATTTTCGATTTTGCGAGTTTGAGATTAAGCAATAATAACTTTTCTAGCAACTTAAACGAGTCAAGCAATCGGATCATCCAAGGAAATAACAATCGCTTATCAAGCAAGGTTCGTTTTTAGAGTTTCTCTTTGCTTAACTTTCAAGTTCGATTGTTGGTTCTTTAGCTTTAGGGTTTTGATGTTACCTTTCACCTTATGGGGTTGTACGGACTAGAACCGGGAGATAAAGACCTCGGTTATCAACTTGTCACGAGCGTATGGTCCTTGGAAGGAATCGCCGAGCAAACGAGAAAGCAAACGGACGGACGTGCTAGGGTTTTCAAAACAAATCAGCGCACACTGTATCTGTGCGTGAGGGCGCGTCGGTGGTCAGATCGACAAGCCGTTTGCACTGATGGATTCGTCTCGGCGAGGGCTTCGATTTGATATCTTGCTTGTTTTCTGGGTCCTCACGATTTGAGAGAACGTTCTCTTTGAAGTTCCGAGGCAGATTTCTTTGCGTTTTAGGGGTTTGATGGAGATAGAGAGATCGTGAGATTAAGGTTTATGTGTCTGATCTTTAGCTAAGGGATTTAGAGGCTATCGTGCTGATAACGTGTTATGAATCTCGTGTATTCTCTTATTAATGAATGATGTTACAACTTATATATATACACAATAAGGGAGACAAATCCCAATTGGACTAGGAAACCCTAAAGCCCAAAGCCCAGTAAGACTAACATAAACCGTCATTGGGCGAGTCTTCTAAAAGCTAGACATGGACCTTTTAGAACATGGACATGGGCCTTCTAGAACATGGACATGGGCCTTCTAGAACATGGACATGGGCCACGGTTATGGAGTCCATCCGTTATGTGGTTTACAACAAGGTCGTAATAATGCGGCAACCCAAAAAAAATCCTAATTACTGAATCGTTTGTAGAGTTTTTGCAACAAGGTTAAAAGTTAAAACTGGTAATATTGCAAGGAAGGCCACGTGATAAAATTTAATGTTGAGGGTCACATTTTCCAAATATATCTCGACGTTAGAAATTGTTGCATGCATGAGTCATTTCTTTAGGTTTTAAGATGAAGAGTTAGAATCTCAGTGGCGGGATCAAATTCTCAGGAGCTCCTCATTTTCAGTTTTTTTTCTCAAATGCTCTTCTCATAAAAATGAATTTAATTTTGAATTATTTTAAATTGAAAAAGGAGAAAAATACTTTGGCACCCCATAGAAATTGAATTTATTACCAATCCAACCAAACAAAACGGGTAAAAAATATCCGAATTCTATGTAATCGGGTCAAACCTAAAAATAATTAAATTGACAGATTTTTTTTCCTTTTTTCATCGTTGTCTTCCTCCTCTTCTTAGTTTTTTTTTTCTTCTTACCATTCTTTGTTGAACTTGGGATAACTACATACAACTTCCTTATTTGCATAAGTTGGTAAAATTCGAGTCGATCTATTTCTCCAATTTGAGTAATTACTTTCATCATGTTTTTCTTCTATCCTTCTTCGTCAATCCTAATCTAACTTGGTCTAATTTGTTGTTTTATTTTCAATATTGGGTAGAATTAAATTGAAATTAGAGAAATTTTTGGAATCTGTTGTTAATCTAATTGATTTTGTTTGTAGGTTTATGCAAAGGAGTAATGGCTCGAACAAAGAACCCAACTCTATCGAATCCTACAGAACCAGATAAAATCCTTGAAGCATCAGAGAGGCACCACCCAAGTGTATTTTGATTCAACAAATTCAATCTCTCGCGGAGATTCAACGGTATAATCTATAAACTTTGGACAACTAGTAGAACTTGGTATAACTATGTTTCTTTTGTAACTTAGAAATTTCTGATACTAAAAGGTAAAACTAAGTATAACTTGGTTAGATGCTCTAGGTATATCTATACACTTTGCGTCTTTGACCAAGAAAAAGCTGACAAGGTTGAAGTAGTCTCTTATTTCAAAACTGGTCGTGTTTTGTGATATTAGACAACAAGCATAAATCTAATCTCATTTTTATGTGGTTGAGATTTAGATGTTTATCTTGTACACAAGTGTGAGACTTACTACATGGACTGTTCTTCTAGATGATATAGATCAAGTTTGATAAAGCTCTAAAAGAGTGTATATCAACCGTTCATAAATTTGCAGTTGCTTGGCTCCACTATCTCTAAGCTAATGTGTTGGGAGGAGTCGAGTTGATTCTCATTGATATTTGTATGTCAAATTCAGATGTTCAAGGAAGCGGAGAAGAAAAACATGAAGAGAGGATGTACAATAGGCGGAGAACCCGAAATGGGAGAAAATAAAAAGAACGAGAAGGAGAAAAGTTCCAGTAAAGACTTGTGACGATGTAGAAAAACCAAGTGAAGGAGGCAGTAAAAGGGTGAAGCGTACAAGCAAAAATGCAAAGAAGGAGTCTATTGTTGTGTTTATGAGTCCTATTGTAACAAAGCATAAGAAGATTTAAGTACTTTATGAGTCAGTTTATGAGAACTCCATGTGTTGTTTTTGTTTTTGTCAAACATGATTTGGTTGTTTTTTAATTTTTGGTATAACTGTGCAGTTTGTTAAACTTAGTACAACTTGGTTAGTATGGTTATTTGAAATATTTATTTAACTAGGTACAACTTGGTATGTAGTTGTACTATCCAGATTTTTGTTCTTTCTCGTCTTCTTTTTCTTTAATAAGTAGAGAATAAAAAATTTCAAAAATTTCAAAAATTTAAAATCTTAAAAAAACGTGGGTCAAACTGCATGTGGGTCTAACTGCGCCGTCATAAACTGCAAGTGGGAGCCGCAAAATAAGTACAGATGCCAGGTGGCACACAAAAATGAACACAGTTGTTCCTAGTTTTCAAGTTGTACTCGCATATACACAGTTGTACTTTTTGTGATTTTTTGTATAATTAATTGTACTTGGATTAAAACTAATTTTTTTTAGTTGGACCCATGATTTTAGTTATTTGAGGTACATTCCATATGTTTTCATGCAAAAATATTTGTCAAAACATTATTATTGTGTGTTTTGCAATGTAGTGGGGATAACAATAAGAAAGTCATCTTAAAAGTATAAGGTCTTTCTTGTACAAAAATGAGTTTAATGGAAACTATCCTATAAATTATGTTTAACTAATATTGTTTAAAAAGATTTGTTAAATTATTTGTGAATTTCTAAACTGCATATGAAGATTTTATAAATTGTCTAATAAAATTCAATTTATTAAGTGTATGAAGATTTGTTAAATTGGTCGTAGTTGTACCATTACGATTATCAGTTTTACTAAGTTGTACAAAACGAATTAGATCAAAGAAATACGTAATTGTACCATTACGAAACCAAGTTTCATAAAAACAGAGAGTACAAAAAAAAGATAAATACAAACACAAATACATTAATCTTGACATTGATCTTGGCTATATTTCTTGCGGTGTAAGTCTAGTTTCTTGAATTCTTCTCTTTCTTGCGGTGTAATTCTAGTTTCTTGAATTCTTCTCTTTCTTGCGGTGTAATTCAGAGGTTATACATACAATTCTTGGATTTCATGTGGAATAATCAACTCATACAGCTATATCACTTCGAATTACTTTTATTGCTCAAGTAACCGCGAATAAATAATCTCCTCCATTGATGATGTCCTAAACGATAGAACGTACAAGCCAGGTACCCTTGGATTCCATTGATATGCATCTCCGGTTTTTGAATAATATCCATCATAATCAAAATGTATGTTAATTGGAAGGTTGCTCATTCTCCTTGAAAAAAAAATACATTAACAGTTATACCAATATTACCAGTTATACCACTTCTAACAGTTACCTCAGAAATACCAGATATACTACTTCTAATAGTTATACCACGTTTCTCAGTTATACCCAGGTTTTCTCAAAAATACCAGATATACTACTTCAAATAGTTATACCACGTGTGACGTGTCTTAATTATACCCAGATTTTCTCAAAAAATACCAGAGATACTACTCCAAACAGTTATACCACGTTTTTAAGTTATACCCAGGTTTACATGTTCTACTCTATTTGCAAATCGATTCTCGGACCAAAAACACTAATCTACCTACTGTTAACAACGAATCAACCACTACAGTCCATTAAAGTGTCTTAATCAACCCAGAATACATGGTTACCAACACAATGTCCATTAATTACCAACACCAATTGAAAACCCTATCAAATCTAATAGAAATCTCCAAATTTCAAACAGTTATACCAAAATAAACTAAAGACTCGATGTTAGAAAGAAGTGGAAGAAGAGAATAGTAACTGACCTAGAGATTAAAGCTTCACTTTCAATGGTGGAAGAACGACGACGACGGCGTGGTGGTGATTTTGAGTTTTGGATTGGATTTGTCCCGATGAATACATGAGCTCGTTTGTGATTGGTCTGAAATCTCTTAATTTTGATTGGTTAAAAATCTTTCTGTTTTGATTGGTCAAAAATTTGTCTCTTTTGATTGGTCCGTTTAGTAAGGGCAAACATGGGTTTTAAACTTTCATTAAGAGTGTAAGAGTATGACAGAATTTTGGAGAGTAGATAGATCATTAAGTCATGCTTGAGGAGCTCTAGAGATTAGTCTCCTCAGTGGCGTTGGTGTATTTGAACAAATGACTCAATTTAAACTTTCTCTTTTACCTAAATAATTTTTGAATATTTAACTATCTTTGAATATGTTTGTTAACAAATAATTATTGTGACATTCATTTTCAAATTTTTGACATCCAAATTTGAAAATTTAATTTATTTTAATGATATAAAATAGTTTTTTTTTTTGACGTCTAGATTTATTATTTATTGCAAATTATGAGAACTGTTACATAGACGATTCTACAACGGACAATTCCTTCCGACCCTTATTAGATCCACGACAGACAACACTTCCTTCTCCATGCTCTTGACGGACACCTTCAATGATCCACGACCTGACGACACTTCTCTCTCTGCGTAGATTCCTGGCGAACGGCTATAATTGTACTTCGCTGGAGATCTCCTGCACACTTGCCTCCTTTTAATCTGCAAATTTATTAATAAATCGCAATATCTGGGACTCGAACCCCGGACCTCTTGGTGTAGAAGCATTAATAAACCCTTGGTCAACCAATGGACCAAGGGGCTTCCACTGATATAAAATAGTTTAGTAAAATAATAATCAACATAAAATACTATTAAATGTATTTTTAAAAAAAGTTTATTAGGGCCAACAATATTTTATGGGCCTACGGCTTTAGGCCACAGCAAAGTACTGATAAGTCTTGTTGCAACAATAAATTCCATCACAAAATTCTCCGTTTTTCTAGTACAACAAATCAATGGACCCAACCAGAAATAATTTTATTTGCACATGTAGCTTTAGAACTCTACACCACACATTGAAGATATTAAAAAAGTCTCTAAGAACAAACTAATTGATCAAATTTGATTATTAATGTTTGCATGGTCGTCTTAAACTATCTGTAGGTTCCGTTTCAAAAAAAAAATTAATATTTGTCTTTTAAAAAATGGTTTTCATTAACTAAAAACTAAATGGATACAATGTTTGGGTTATAAACTAAGACCATCTCCAATGATGATTTATCATCCAGTTTCTTGTAATTAAAATAACGAAAAAAAAAAGAGAGAGAAAGAGACACGTCTCTCCTGTGAAAACTTATGAGAAACTGCTAAAAACTATTTTACTAAATGTTTTAATTTGATTGGTGTAATTTAATTAATTATTTCAAATTTAATCAAAAATAAAATAATAATAATAATAATAATATTTTTTATTCATCATATACTATTTTTTTAGATACGGAGATGCTCTAAAGAAGATGGAAATTGGTGGAAGAGATTAATTGGGTTTGGACCATTTATTTTGGAGAATATCTTCGGAATTTGACTCTTCAGCCTTTCCATGGATTATCTGGTATATATGGAAATCAAGGAATGAAAAAATATTTGAAAATATTGATAAAGATCCGTTAGAGGTATTACGGTTAGCGGAAAAAGAAGCACAATTGTGGCAGTCAGCCCAAATTGAGCTTCATCATGAAACTCATGGTACTGTAGAATTGGTAAATCGTTCTCGAGTGGGGAATACTTCACTTGACTCGAATTATTCTGGATACCGTTGCTTTGTGGATGGATCGTGGAAAGAAAGTGATAAGTTCTCCGGTACAGGATGGTTCTGTACATCATCAAACGGAGAGCCGCCAACCATGGGAGCTGCAAATCTCCGTCGAAGTTTATCTCCATTACATACCGAGTTCGAGGCCCTTCTCTGGGCGATGAAGTGTATGATTGGTGCAGATAATCAAGAGGTAGAGTTCCTTACAGACTGTTCAGATCTGGTGAAGATGGTGTCTTCTCCAACCGAATGGCCGGCGTTTTCAGTGTACTTGGAGGAATTTCAGAGCGACAAAGAAGAATTCTCATCCTTCTCTTTATCTTTAATTTCTCGTAATGCTAATGTAAAAGCGGATCATCTGGCACGAAAAATTCGTACAGAACCGCTTCATATCACATTTGTAAACAACATTCCCCAGGAATGGCTCTTTTGAGCTAATTTCAGATGACAAAAAAAAAAAAAAAAGATTAATTGGGTTTTTAATATTCATTTTAAGCGAAATTTTTTATTTTACACGTGCCACACATTCACCGACCTAACGATGTAAAAATAATAGCAACAAGGCCCAATAAAAGCCCAATTAATAAATCTAACGTCTCAAAATGGACGGCCAATAAAAATAAACATTAATTTTTGAACGTTGGAGACTTTTTGACTAATTCATTATGCAAATATCATCCATTTAGCGTTTTTATAAAGCCTAGTGATTCGCTTTCTCTTCTTCCTCATCGATAACCAACAACCGAAAACTAGGGTTCTCTAATCTCGACGAAGATGGCGTCGCAGAAGGCTAAGGATATCGTTAACAGCGATTCAGTCGTTGTTTTCAGGTTCCTCTCTTCTCTCTAATTTTAAAATTTTCAGCGATTCTCTCGATTTCTGTTTGTTTGTGAATCTTCGAATCTGTGGTTTGTGATTCTTTATATGGCTTTGATTATGTGTGTTTTGATGTGAATTTCCATGGAGTTTTTATGCGATTAAGGATCTATCGATGTATCTAGACGGTTTTGTGTACAAAAGGAGTCTCTGTGTTGTGATTTTGAGTGATCTAATTAGTAATTTTTTTCTGGAATTTGCAGCAAGACTTATTGTCCGTATTGCGTGAGAGTGAAGGAGCTTTTGCAACAATTGGGAGCTAAATTCAAGGCCGTTGAGCTCGACAACGAAAGTAATTATTTTTTTCACCATGAATTCGTTTCATTTGCTGTGTTTATAATGAATTCGTTTCATTTGCTGTGTATAATTGTTGTTCTATTGCTTGTTATACCGAGATTCGAGTTTAGGATTTTGTTTGATCCAAGGATAGTGTTTTGTTTCGAAAATTTCTCTGTTTAATTTATGGTTTCGGAAAGTTCGAATTGTTCTGAGGTTTAAGTTTAGGTTATTGATCCAAGTATTGGTTTTGTTTTGTAGAAACTAGAAACGTTCGCTGGAGTTTCATGTGTAGTTTTTTTGGTCCAAGTGTAGGTTTTGTTTGTGAACACATTGTCAAAATTTTCTTTGTTTTCTTTAAGGCCTCATGATCATGGGGTATTATCTTCCACGAGTCAAAAAAGTTTCAGAAAGCATATGAACATTATCCTAAGCACTTATTGATCCAAGTATAGGTTTTGTTCATGAACTTACAGTAGAAATCTTCTCTTCTTTCTATGGAGATTCGAGTTTATGTTTTTGATCCAGGTATAGGTTTTGTTCATGAACGCATTGTACAAAATTTCTCTGTTTTCTTCGGGCCCTTATGATTATTTGGTGCATATATCTTTCACGAGTCAAAGAAGTTTTAGCAAGCATGAATATTTTACCCTTAAGCAGTCTTACAAACAATGAACTATGAGTTTTTGCATTTGTTCAGAGTTGTAGATAATCTAGACTCAAGCATTGTTCTATACTTCTGCTCTTTTTGAATAATTCATTGCTGTTGTTTAATACAGGTGATGGTAGCCAAATTCAATCAGCTCTCGCAGAATGGACAGGACAACGCACCGTGCCTAATGTGTTTATAGGAGGAAATCACATCGGTGGCTGCGATGGTAAGAAGATCAGGGCAATTCCCTTCAAAACTTTTGTTTGATAGCGGGGTGAGGACTTGTATACGGTCATTCTAAACAAACTTTTGTGATTTTCATTATTTTGTAGCAACAACAAACTTGCATAAAGATGGGAAGTTGGTTCCCCTGTTAACTGAAGCTGGAGCGATCGCAGGAAAGACTGCAACAACTTCTGCTTAAGAGTACATCCATTTGTGCTTGCTTCTATCAGGAATAAAGAGGTTTGAGTCATAAATGTGAACTTGTTTTGTGTCAAGTTAAGAAATATTCTGATGTTTTAAGATTATGGTTATGTCGAAGTCGGATTTGAACTTCGGATACATTATGTTATTATCTTCTGGCTATGCTTTTGGTACCATTTTGGGGGTAGATAGAACTGAGTTTTAGGAGGGGTTATTGGTTCATGGATTTATATGGAATTAGAAATCCAAACAAAAATCATTTGTTATTCAATCATTGATTTTAAAATCCTAATTAAATTCATGTGTTATTGGTTCTATGATTTATAAATATTAGTTAAAATCATATGTTATTCGTTTAGTCATTTGTTTTTGGATTTGAGAATCCAAATTATGTTTTAAATGGAATTGAATGGAATTGAAAGAGAAAAATAGAAGGATTCAAATCCATGGGTAAACACATGTTATTTCAAAATCCATATATCTTGATTTCATAATTAATAGAAATTTTCAAATTCTATATGGATTTACAAATTAATAAACCAATAACACCCCCTTAGGCTCTCGGGTAAAATCAACTGAAAAGTGCACATAGGTCGTCATAGTTAGAAAGATTGAATATTGCTACAATCAAGAATTGGGACATTTTGAGGACCATCAAATGAGATTAGGGAAGAAAAATCAACTGTTCACACAATTTTTGTGTTGTGTTTTGCAATCCATATAGGCCGAGAGATAAGAGACTAAGAGCACATCCATTTGCAACTGCTTCGTCAGTAATTTTAAAGGCTTGAGTCAGTAATAATAATCTTTTTGTTGTCAAGTTTAGCAACAGTCTTAAATGTTTCAAAATTATGGTTGTGTCGAAGTCAAGTCGGTTTTGATCTTGTGATTCATTATCTTATGTCAATAGTCAATACTCAATACTACCATCTTCTCTATATGAGTTTGTAAGTGCTTTCAATGTTTCATTGTGTAACGAAATTACTGTCTTCAATTTTGACTGAAAACTGACTATTTCTATAATTTTTACTCCAAACTCATTTCCGCAACCAAATTGTGATTCCAAAACTTTACACTAAAAGTCCAAAATTGGAATTCCGAAACTTTTGCACGAGCCCTCGATAAAAATAGAGAAATTGGCAAATATAACCAACAAAAAAATTTTATTTAAGAAACTAACCAAAAAAAAATCTCTTGTGATATAATGTGTGTAATATGTATTAAAGACACAATTACCCCAAAAGCATCATTGTCTCTTCTTTCTTCGTTTCTCCACCTCTCTGTTCTTTTTCAGTTTCTTCCTCTCTTCCGGCCTCCTCCATTTTCTCTCCCTCTCACAAGTGCCATGGGGACTCCCATTTGATTCATCTGCTTAAGAGCCTAAACCAGAATCTCTCTGATTCGAATCGACAAGATATTGATAACTTTAAAAACGTGAATTGGGTTTTGGAAAGTGAAGAACAGACGAGTGAATGACCGATACTGTTTCAATGATCTTTTTAACATTTCAGTTTGAAAACTTTAGTCAAGATATCGCCGTTGTTGGGGTCTATCGTTTGATCTGCAAATGAATTTCTCATTAGTTGAGTGTTTCTTCTCATCTCCTTACGCTGCAAATTAGCAGTGAAGATAAATAGATTATGATGAACCTATTGGAGTTGAAGTCGCCGCGACCACCGCGACAAGCACCACCAACGCCACATCGTTGCCGCCATACCAACACAATCACCACCATTGTCATTAACACCACACCACTACAACTCACTCCTTACGCGTACGTCCACAAACTGAAACGAAATCATTCGATCCAAATGCAGCCACGAGTGTGTTACTCTCCTCTCATAACACGCGCGTCTTCATCCCTTACAAAATGAAAAGGAGTTTTTCGACTTTTTATCTTCCACTTGTGTTACTTCCTTCATTTGCCTCATTATAGTGCTATATATTTAATAACTTTATCTAGAATGGTTATTCACCTAATTCACCCATAAAAATATCTGTTTTCAAATAATAATTCCACAGTATTAGCATCAAATTGTAGTTGTGTAATTTTATTTTTGCAATAAATGAATTTTGGCGCCAACCCTAATTCCGCAATTCCAATTTGGATTGGCACTCCTAAAACTTGACATCATTACCATTCTAAGAAAATTATGTAAAAAAATTGTTTAAAAGATAAAATTTATGTGTCCACAAGTAGGAAAAATCAAAAGCAAATGAATGTGAATTTCAAATACTTAGTCACTTAAATTTGATAGATATTTTAAGGCGGTAATATCAAAAGCTTAATGCAACAAGAAAATATTTAGGCACAATAACTGAAATATGATACTTAGGGTTCTCTCATAAATCTATATATACATTTTTGGAGTATCTTTAGCAAATAAATCTTGGAGTTCCACCTTATTTACGAGTCCATGCCATTGACATTTATTATTTAGTTTTACAAAATTTAAATAAAAGATATTAATCAAATCATATCTTGCCTAATTTGTTTCTAAAAATCTCTATACAATCTTTCCATATATCTTTAAAAAAATTCCGTGAATTTTACTCCACAAAATATGCATAAAACCGATTTATAACAAATATTTATATTAACATTTTGCATAACAATAAAAATACTAATTTATAATAATCAAAATATTCACATACAAAAATTATATAATTTATATGATAAATTTAAAATATATATTAGTAGTATATATTTAAAATCATTCAAGGAACGGTATACCACGGGTGAGATCCTAAAATTATTAGATTTTATAACAATAATAATTTCTTATCTTGGATTTTATAACACTAATAATTTAGCTAACAGAATAATATAGACGGGTTTATATTGGGTCGATATTAATAAAGAACGGTATATCACGGATGAAATCCTAAAATTAACAATCAAAATACAATTATACAACTTTAAACACAAAACAAAACATACAATAGTAACTTTTTGTTTTGAGATCATCTCCAATGCCACTTCTAATTTTTCCTCTATTTTAAAATTGATTTTGCTCTAATGTACGCTTTTAAAATAGAAGAAAAAATAGAGTTATATAATACTCATCTCTATTTTTTTCTCTATTTTAAAAGCATACATTAGAGCAAAATCACCTATAGTTTGACAAAAAAAAACAATTAGTGCAAAATCACTTTTAAAATAAAGGAAAAAATAGAGGTGGACATTGGAGATTGTCTGATAAGAATTATTAAAAACATTTTGTACATTTAAGCAAATTTTTTATGATTAAAGTTTTTCTTTAAATGCAACTAGGGGAGGTCCCCGCGCCCAGCGCGGGGTTGTATGTTGATTAAGACCAGAATTAATAATTAATATTTAGGGTTATCAAGTTAGGGATATTTATTGAATTAATTTTGTCAAGAGTCTAATTTTTATAACGACATTAATATAGAATTATGGTAAAACGCTATAACTTTTGATATATATTATTAGTAATCAACAATTAATAGTGTTTTTGAATCACAAACAATTATTAGTGTTTATATCTTGATATATATAATAGAATTAAATATAAAAAATCTATATATTTAAACCAACAATATATTAGCAACGCCCCGACCGCCACTGTCCATGGGTTCCCACGTCCAGTCTCGGTCTTTAGGTCCATCTTCTTTGTTTTGTCGTACTCTTGATTTTATGACATATTCATGCTTACTCGTTCCTTTCATATTAGCAACGCCCCGACCGCCACTGTCCGTGGGCTCCCCACGTCCAGTTTCGGTCTTTAGGCCCATCTTCTTTGTTTTGTCGTACTCTTGATTTTATGACATATTCATGCTTACTCGTTTCTTTCATATTTGTAATGCCACGACCGCCACTGTCTGTGGGTTCCCACGTCCAGTTTCGTTCTTTGAGCACATCTTCTTGGTTTTGTAGTACTCTTGGTTTTATGACATATTCACGCTCCCTCGTTTCTTTCATATTTGTAACGCTCCGACCGCCACTGTCCGTGGGTTCCCCACGTCCAGTTTCGGACTTTAATTTGGGCCCATCTTCCTGGTTTTTGTTGTATTCTTGATTTTATGACATATTCATGCTTTTAGATTGTATGTCACTGGAGTTTTTCGTAGTTGGAAACAAATAATTGAAAAATATAATCTCTTACCATATCTCTTACCTATCAAGTAAGTCATCTTGCTCTTTGAAGTAGTTATGTACGTAAAATTTCAATGGTATAGAAACAGGCATCTCCTTTGTATATATCGTGTCATATTTATCGTCCCTATTGTAGTATCTTTGTCTCTACCTTCGCCATTGGTCGCTGCGTAACCCTTCAGTTGATCTCTTGTTTATAAAACCCATATAAAAAGTTGTAAGAGAAATATCATTTTCTTAACTGTATCGTATATGTATTTGTAGTATATTGATTTGAGATTGCAAAGATGTATGCCTATCAAGAAGCTCTTAGCAAAGTAAACACTGAAGATAGGTACTAAAAATGAGAGGGTTACAGAGAGCAAGTATCTATCCCTTAGAAACCACTATGTGCAACTGAGAATAATTCATATATGTACATACATACACATGTATATAACGTATTGAAGCTTTTAAATTTAAATATCGAATGCTACAAAACTGGAAAATTGCTTGTGGAGAAAGCAATATGAACATGGCCACATATATAACAAATAACCGATTATGCTTGTCGTAGATCATTCTCTTTCAAACCAAAAGTTTTACCTAAACAACATATCAAGTGACTCACAAGAGATACATAAGAGCCATATCCTAAAAATATCCGGCAAAGCAAAAACGCTCCAGGTTCGAGAAGGAAGTCATTGGAAAATTTGAGTATATACCAAACTGGAGAGTAATTCGGCTACAAAGAGAGATGTGTTGGCTTTGAAGAAAAAGCTATGTGATGCTCTACCTTTTATTTATGAATTTTATGCTATGAATATATGTTTTTGTTAGGGTTCAACTTCAGTCTCTAGATTAGAGACTTATATTCATCCGACAAACAATTCGATGTCACAATCAACGCTACAAAATTGGTGGGTTCTCTCTATTAACAAACAAAAAAAAATTCTGGGGTATATATATTTTTTTTGTTTTGTTAGATCCATACGACGAAGAACATGACGAAGAACACCAAAAATTCTCATCAATCCGGTACGTTTGATCTTATTTTTATTAGTTTAACAATAACGGTTATGTCCGAATCT